TGTTCCGTGGGTACTGTGGCCCTGTTTGAGTTGCATTCTGTGTGTGTCATGGCCCTGTGTGAGTGTCATTCTGTGGGTGCTGTGGCCCTGTTTGAGTGGTATTCTGTGCATGCCATGACCCTGTTTGAATGATGTTCCGTGGGTGCCATGGCCCTGTTTGGTATTCTGTGCATGCTATGGTCCTGTTTGAGTGACATTCTGTGGGTGCTTTGGCCCTGTTTGAGTGCTATTCTGTGTGTGCCTTGCCACTGTTTGAGTGGTATTCTATATATGCCATGGCTCTGTTTGAGTGGTAGTCTGTGGGTGCTATGGGGGCCCTGTTTGAGTGTTTTCTGTGCATTCTGTGGCCCTGTTTGTGTGGTAGTCTGTGGGTGCCGTGGTCCTGTTTGAGTGGTATTCTGTGGGTGTCATGGCACTGTTTGAGTGGTTTCTGTGCGCTCTGTGACCCTGTTTGAGTGGTGGTCTGTGGCCCTGTTTGGGTGGTGGTCTGTGGCCCTGTTTGAGTGGTATTCTGTGTACACCATGGCCCCGTTTGCATGGTATTCTGCCCTTGTCATGCCTCTTCTTCCCTTCATGTTCCTTTTTCCATATTTTCTGTGAAAAGGGGATAGGAACAGTAAAACTATACAGAAGAGAAACAAATACCGATTTCTTGTAGTGTTTATTTTGTGATGTACAATTCTCTAGGCCTTTGACATGAAAAAAGGAAAAATAAAGAAAAACCTTCCCACAAGTTTGGGAAAGGGAGGGAAGCCTTGGAAGAAGTAGGCAGGCTCTTTCCAGATTTGTCACCTATGCATAGATTCAGATCTGTCGCCTACATATAGATTCAGATCTGCAGACCCATGTAGAGGGTTGGCAGCAGGCAGGGTGCAAGGCAAGTTGCAGGCGGGTGGCCCCCTGGCCAAATCCTGTTGACATGTTTTGCTTGGCTTGAGTCATATTTGAAAAACATTAAAATTAGTTTAAAACATAGAAATTTTCATAATAAAAACTCCATTTTCCAGCTTTCCTTGAAGAATTGGGATCAGGGTGCTGGTGGCTGGTGTCAGGGTGCTGGTGGTTTGATGGCTGCCTCCGTGAAAAGACTTGGCTCCTAGGTCATGGCCCCTCCAGCATGGGGCAGGGGCCCTGGGGTGTGCTGCTGTACCTAGCCTAGAAAGTTCTGGACTTGGACTCGGACCTGGGAGACTGGGGCTGATGCTTCCTGGTTTCTCCTCTTCACATGCTCCTGGCAGCCATGTGTGAGAGAGCACATCTTCAACAAGAGGCCCAGGGTACCTGCAAAAGATCAGGTTCCCAGTGACATTGGGACACAGGGACCCTTGGTCAAGTGGGCATTTGGGAAGTGGTGCTTAGTAGCAATCGTGCACGTAAGGGAATCTCTCTGCTGCCTTTAAGGTAGAATAAACCATTTCTTTCTTTTAAAAAAATTACAATGTGTTTTTAAAATGTGTTTTTAAAAATTATTATTATTTTACAAGATCCATGAAGTCTACGTGGTGCTTTATAGGGCATATCTGGCTACAGCTGGTGTACTTCTGGGTGTTTTATGGCAAATTATTCTCAGATTACCCTTTAATGCAGGAAGGTCTGCCTGTTGTCTGAGCTCCCTGGGTCATATGGAAACCCCTCTGACTTGATGCAAAACAGCTGCCTCAGTCAGCTGTTCCAAAAAAGGAGCATTTTCAGGCTGAAGCAGCAGGAAAAGTTTTGAAATGTTGAATTACTCTTTCCTTGCCATTAAAATGTGATTTAATTTTGATACTAACAAATTGTGTAAATCTAAAGCGAAGTACTCAGAATGGAGTTTGTTAAGTGTGTTCTGGCATTACTTACAGTATGCCCTGGGGGGACATTCCCCAGGGAGGACAGCACAAAATTTCACTGACCTCCATGTCTCAGGACCTCAGCCTGGCTGGGCGAGGGTCAGGGGCCAACCCATGGGCCTCCCCCCTCTCTCTTCTGGGTCCCTGCTGAGATAAGCAACAAAGGGGTCAATTGTCTGAGGCCTCCTTTTGTCTGAGGAGCTCCATGAGCCTCTCTGAATGCCAAAGTGTATCCATGTGCATGGATGAGCACATATGTATGAGTGTGCATGTGTGCATATGTGGTGATACACACGTGTGTGCATGTGTGCATATGCATATGTGTATGCACATGTGAATAGACATGCACACAAGCACTAATAGACTGCATATGTGCATGTGCATGTCTGAATGTGAACGAGTATACGTGTATGTGGCTGCATGTGTGCACACGTGTGAATGTGCATGTGTGCGTGCATGTGTGTGCGCACACAGGCAGTGGTGAGGCTTAAAGAGTTTTTGAGTTGCAGATACATGAGAGCAGGCGAGGGACCTTTGAAAGGATTGACCAGATGATGGAGGTTCATTCCTAAGGTAGAGGAGGAAAAGCATCTCATCTCTCAGGAGATCACACAGTTGCCTTTACCTGGCATTTGCTATGGCACAAAAAGCCTAGAGATTCTCCTGCCTCCCCTGCTTTCTCTGTAGGAATGAGGAAGAGCAGGCATATGGAAGCTTCTTACACAGGTCATTTGCCTCATTGGTCTGTTGCAACCTGAGGTTTCAAGGGAAGACCCACAAGAACTTTTCTACACTGTTCCAGCTTCTGTTCAGGCCTTCCTCATTGGACCCAGTGCATTCTATGTGAGATTTTGGCCACGTTTCCAGAATGACTGTGAAATATGTTCCCATCCATCTTGTACGTGGTTCCCATGTAGCATGGGGGTTTTCCCCCTTCCCCAGTTGTCCTGTGCCCTTGCAGGGCCTATTCATGCAGAGGCCTGCCGGGAGCCCTGGCTGCTCTGTCGTTTGGTTTGAGCCATTCCTGTCCACTGGAGTTTCCTTGATTCACACCTTCTTCCTTAACAAGCTGTCCTTTTAAGAATGACAATAAAACATATTTTATTCAGAAGCCAGGAAAAGACTCATAAAAACGCTTCATTGAAATTCATCTTTGTGAAAGATTCATCTTGCAGCCCCCTTTAACCAGCACAGCTGTCACGAGCAACTTTTTCTGTGTGTTTTTTTCTTCTTGTCCTTCCCACCCCATTTCCTCTCCCTACTCCAGCAAGGGCTTATCTTTCGACTGTGGAGAAGCCACCAATTAAACTGTACTCCAAAGCTTATCAAAATATTCAGTCAGTAAAATTATCTTATAATTAGCCTCACTGTAAGCCAGAACGTTTTAATCCCAGGAAACGTAAAGTTATCCGGCATGTGAAATCTGTAAATTGCTCATCCTGACCTTCTGGCTACAGTTTCTGCTTTTCTTTCTTTCCCAAAGTAATTTCTTCCTTGTTCTTCAAATTCTTGATTGTCTCTGAGGCATCTTCCTCTTCTGTTTGCTTAAGTTTCAAAGAAAACTTACCCCAGGTTGAGATAGAGAATTGAAAAATTCAGGTGAATCAACCTGATTTTATATATTTCTTGCCTTCACTTTTAGCTGTTCTTTTTGCAAATATGAGCCTCTGATTGCTGATGGCTCGTCCTTGTTGGTCTCGTACTTTGGATGCCTGCAGTGATATGCATGGCTGAATTTTTCTGGAGCCCTGCTATTCAAACAGCATCTGGGGGTTCTGCAGGATGTAGAGCTGGGCAGGGGTGTTGGACTTTTTTTATTTCAGCCATTTCTCTTCTCATAGCTCTCTCTCCCCATTCACCCTCCCACTGCCAGGGGACCCTCCTGTCATCTTGCACCACCTGGGACAGCACCATGAATGTTATGTCCCCGCCCCAATCCTATTCAGACCAGCATCAGAACCATAAATGATGTTTGGGGATCTTAAGGTGGCACTTAGACTTCAGCTACAGAAATGATATTCAGATGATGTTAGGTTCTTAACTATTGTAAGCTTCTTAAACCAGTCTTGCTGTAGGTATGAGTGGGCTAATGAGATTTACACAGGCATTGTTTGACCGTTCATTGCTTCTTGCATAACAGAATATTTTCGAAGTTCCCAAAACTCATTGAAAAATTAAATTTTGGAATGTACTAACATTTTGATAAATGGAGTATTGCCTGCATGTAGTGTTACTAGTGGTAGTTATTATTTACAGAGTTTTTCCTGTCTGTCACACAGTAGTCATACATATACATACACCAAGATACAAACACACAAATATATAAAAATTGCTTCATCTTTACATTCATTCTGTGAGAAAGTAATTATTTTGCCCATTTTACAGTTGGGAAAATTGAGGCTCCCACAGTTTCGATAACTTGCTGATGCAACTGAACTTGACTGGCTGGCCTGACTCTTGCTATCCCTTCTGTTAACTATCCAGGGCCCACGTCATGTGATTTGACCCCCACTTATGCTTGAGAGGTTTCTGCATACCCCCTGCAGAGTAAAGAGGAGATCACAGTTCACCTCAACCTCCGCTTGTTGCTGTGCCCAATAACTGAGTGCACCATATCTTGATGTCACATGTGAATTTCAGGCTCAATTTATTTGCTGACCTCAGAGCTGAGACTTGCCGGCCTTGAGCTTACAGGATCGGTGTGAAGGCTGTGATGATCCCGTAGGGAGACTCTGGTCCAGGTGGCCTGGGCTCCACTTGGTGCTCCTAGGGTAGGAGATAGAGAAGGGACCAGCTCCCAGGACCCCACCATGTGTGGCTGTGTTCCCCTAATGCCACCCTTGGAATCGCCGCATGCTCCAATTCCATCTTTTTGTGACTGTGTCTCAGAGGAAGAAGACCCATATTTAGGAAGGCGTTTCTATTGAGAGACACCTCCTGTCTAATCCACAAGTAAATACTTTACGCCTCTTTAAGTCTCTTTAAAAATACAAATTTTCTTTAGGAACTAAGTTGAAACTAAATATGTCATTAAAATTTGTTAATTTTGAAACATTAACTGTAGGAAATTTTAGGAAATCTTTAAAGCATAATTGTGTCAAGTTAATTTTCTTGTGAATTCTGCATATTCTTGATATTACTTAATTTGTTTTTCTCTCTTTTTAATTACAGCTTGGGTTGACGATAGCCATTCGCTACAGCCACAGGTAAAGGTTTACCTTTCTGTTTCTTTTAAGAATTATCCTTACCAGTTTTTAGCTCTTGGTTTGCTGAAGTCTCAGGTTTTGAGCTTTTTTTTTGGTGGCTGCTTCCCTGTGATGTCAGTGTCACAGATGGAATTGTTCTAGTTGCTTGATTGGCAACAGCATATTGCTATTTAGAGGAATGAGGTCTTGTGAAAACGTGGTGGTAGATAGCACATTTCTTTTTTTTTTTTTTTTTTTTTAAAAAGGGATATTCTAGGTCATGACACAGAAGCACTATCTGGATAATGTTCTCATTCTTAAAAGAGTGAGACACTCTTAGCATGTCCCTGAAAACAGGAACACCCTGCATGAGAGGTGAGTCCCAGCAGAGAGAAACCCAGCAAGAGTTTGTATGTGAAGCCCCAGCCACCCACTCCATGCTGGGCCTCTCTCTCTGTGTCTTAGGATGTCTGACAATGGCAAAAAGCCCTATTTTTGTCTTGCTTCATGATTTCTACCTTGGTCTCAACTGTATCACACCGATGAAAAATGTTTGTTTTTTGTGTTGGTATCAACCTTTTCCCCTTTGCATGCGTCAAAATGCATTGAGATGTTAAAGTAAGATCCAGCTCTAGCGGAGGGGTGATAAGCAGGGTCCTTCCTGTCCTTAGGAAAACTGTGCTCACAGCCTCCCAAAGTGCCACTCTCTGGTCATAGGCTTTGGGCTTGGAGATATCTGCTCAGCTGCCCATAAACAACCCAGAGTCACCTAATTTCAAAACAAGTTTTCCTACTAAGAATGCTCATAACAGGGGTATGCATGGTTTCAATATACATGTGAATTGGGCAATTGTAGGCAATCCCTGAGACCTAGAAAGCTGCAGGGAGCCATGTAGATTACAGCAGGAAGAAAGCAGGAGAGTTCTCAGCCCTTGGAATGAGACTGTGGGAAGAAAGTACTCATGTGGGACATTTCTGGAGACTTGTGAAAGAAACTGCTTCAGAGAGGCTCAAGGTCATGGAAGGGAAAGAAATATATTTTCCTGGCCCATTGCTAGGTACATGGCTGAGTCCCCATAGAAAAGTCAGATTAACTAGAGAAAGCATGCAAATTTATATTTAATATAAGTTTTACATAACATGGGAGCTCTCACAAGGAACTAAAGACCCAAAGTAACAGAGGAACCTGTATGTTTTTAATGTTAGTTTGATGGAGAAGTGGACAGTTGTGGAGATGGATAATTGGACAAAGTGGGTATGATCTAATGGTAATAAACTGGGCGGGAGATTGAGAACTTAACAAATTTAGCCTGTTTGTTCAGATTCTTCTCTGTGGTCCTGTGTCTTCAGAGATAAGTATTTCTCTGGGTGTATGGAGACTACCTCTCGAATGAGTTTTATGGCTTGTATCAGAGGAGGAGGGGAAGGGTAAGGTGAGAGTGACCTTCTAGCTTCTGCTGTTTTCTCAAATGTCAAGGTGCTGTTTTCTCAAATGCTGAGGTGCCTCATCAATTGCTTGTGTGTTTCCAGTTCTATGCATGCATGATGCATGCCCATGACAAAAGTGTGGCATCCTGCAGAAGGATGTTTTTCCCTTGTAAGCCCAGCTAGGCTCCTGCAGCTGCTGAGGCACATAGCTACGGCACACTTAGGAGGAAGTATGGTACGCACACAGACCTCTAACCCTAAAGCCAACTGTGTGTGTGGCATAGTGGGGTATGGTGGGTGTGAAGTGCTCTCTCCAGAACTTGGAGGAGCCTGTTTTTCTAGAATGTTCTCAAGGTAGACTGCTTCAGAAAGAAGACAGCCAAGATCTTGCTCTGGTTCAGAGACAAGCATGCTCTTCCCCATGATGTCTCACTATGTTGCAAGCGCTGGTTTTGAACTCCCAGACTCAAGCAATCATCTTGCCTCAGCCTCCCAAATTGCTGGGATTACAGGAGTGAGCCACCATGCCTGGCCAATGGAAGCTTCTGAGAGGAAGTAAGTCTTAAACCATCCTCGTTCCTCTAAAGCGTGAAAGTGGCAGGAAGCCCAGCTGACTCGGAGATGCCCCTGATAGGCTGATAACAAGCGTCTCTCAGAACACATAGTCTTTAAATTGCTGTCTGGCATTGCTGTGGAGGAGAGGAAGAATTTGGGGAGAGCATGGAGGTGTGGGGTGGATCCTGGCTGCTTCCGATTGCTTCTGTAGTCCTACTAGTTCAACCTTGACCCCAAACTTAGAAGCTTCTCCTCAAACAAGCCCTGCAGAGAATTGGACAGAATGCAAGGAGGAAGTTAGCAGCTGTCTGTTGTACATGAGTTTGTCTCTTCAGGCTCCAGCTCCAACCTTCTGTGCTCTCCTCTCAGCAGGAGCTATCCTAACACATGTGGCTTCCCTGCTGTGTTTCCAGGGTTGTTTGTCTCCAAGCTGTCTTTACCACCTTTAAGGTGTCAAGTGCAGAGCACTTAACAAATATCATGGAGTTACGTAAGTGCCACAAAAAACAAGCAGTAAGTGGGAGAAGTGACAACTGAAGGTGATGAGATTGAGGAGAAGGAAAGTGAAGACATCTGTGGAGGCTCCCTTGCAAGTTCCAAGGTCCTTCACCATCTCCCTTGGGGTCTGGGGACCAGGGAGTAGGTGGTGGGCCAGTGAAGCCAGTATTCACAAAAGGCTGCCCTCAGCAACTGATGTCATCTGTAGAGGAGTCTGAAGACTTTGGGAGCACAAAGACTGATTAGACAGTGATTGCAGTAACTCAGAGACAGCATGAGGACTTTCTAGGCTTGGCTGTGCCTCTCACAAAATGTGAGCTGTCAGACGATTCACACTAGCCAAACTGAGGGAGTTACTGAGGAGCATGTGATCTGCTTGAGGACTGACACCTTCAGTACTGCGGAAATGGAGAAGGGATGATCAAAGGGTTGTGTTTTCTAAAAATTACTTCTGAAATATAAGGAATTCTGATTTTAAAATTCTGGAAAGTACAACAGCATTTGTAAATTTGTGGTGGGACAAACCTACCTTCTGGAAAATCCCCATTTTCCCAGAATTGATGACACTTCGTGAGGCGTCACTGAAGAGCCGTTGGCAGGTCAGGCCTCTTCTTCCCCGTGGGCACAGGAGGAACTGACCTTTTCTCTTAGAAGCCTGCAGGTCACCGTGGCTCTTGTTTTTTTTTTTTTTTTTGAGACAGAGTCTTGCTCTGTCATCCAGGCTGGAATGTAGTAGTGTGATCTCAGTTCACTGCAACCTCTGCCACCTGGGTTCAAGTGATTCTCATACCTCAGCCTCCTGAGTAGCTGGGATTACAAGTGCCCACCACCATGCCCGGCTAATTTTTGTACTTTTAGTAGAGACAGGGTTTTACCATGTTAGCCAGGCTGGTCTTGAACTCCTGACCTCAAGGGATCCACCTGCCTTGGCCTCCCGAAGTGCTGGGATTACAGGCATGAGGCACCATGCCCGGCCACTGTGACTCTTCTGCTCCTTCTTATTCCTGGCCTTTCCACCTACCTCTCCCCTCATCCAGGAGGAGGGAGATGAGGGATGTAGGTTTCTGGTTGAGTTCCCTCTTTAAAAAGCCTATTTGCTTGTTTGGACTGGCTAAAACTTCTATCCTTTTGTTGATTACTTTTTATGTGTGTGGTGAAATTTGCCTAACATAAAATTAGCCATTTGTTTTAGTCTGTTTGTGCTGCTCTAACAAAATACCACAGACTGGGTAATGTATAAAGAAGAGAAATTAATTTTTTCACAGTCCTGGAGTCTGGGAGGGCCAAGACGAAGGTGCCAGCAGATTCAGTTGTCTGGTGAGGGCCTGTTCCTTGCTTCCAAGGTGTTGCCTTGTTGCTGCAGCCCGGGGAAGGGAGGAGGGCTGTGTTCTCACGTGGCAGAAGGGAGCAGTGCAGAGGGGAAGGCATCATAAAGCCTCTTTGTAAGGGTCTTCATCTCATTCATGAGAGAGGGAGCCCGCATGGCCTAATCACCTTTTAAAGGCCCCACCTCTTAATACCATCACGTTGGCCATTAAGTTTCAACACCTGTTTTTGGGGGAACACATGCAAACCCTAGCAGCACTTTAACAATTCCGAAGTGTGTAGTTTAGTGGCATTAAGTACATTTTCACTGTTGTGCCATCAACATCACTGTCTATCTCCAGAACTTCTTCAGCATTGCAAACTGTAACTCCATACCCATTAATTAAATAAGAAATTCCCTTCCCTAACCCCTCTCCAGTTCCTGAAAACCACCATTTGACTTCTTGTCTCTGTAAGCTGGACTATTCTAGGGACTTTATATTAGTGGGATAATATAGTATTCGTCTTTTGGTGCCTACCTTGTTTTACTTAGCATAATTCTTCAAGACTCGTGCATATTGTAGAATATACCGGAATTTTATTCCTTTCTAAGGCTGAATAATATTCCATAGCATGTATCGGCCACATTTTGTTTATTCATTCATCCAGCAGTGGATGCTTGGAACGCTCCCACCTCTTTGTCATTGTGAATAATGCTGCTATGAATTTGGATATACAAGTATCTCTTTGACACCCTGCTTTCGATTGTTTTGGGTACATGCCCAGAAGTGGAATTCCCAAATCACAGGGTAATTCTAAGTTTCAGTTTTTGAGGAGTGGCCATACTGTTTTCCTATCAATTATCGTTTCCCTTGTCATGTTGACCCAGAATTCAGATGCCAGAGTTGAGGGCTTTCTAGGTCTTCTTTGTATGGGCAGGGATACCTTTGGCATCAAGATTTGGGACTTTATATTCTAATGACCAGATCTACTTCCAAATTCTAACAAAGATATCGGGACCAAGAGAGATGGTGAAGAAAACCCCAGCAGACTCCTTTAGAAGATGGGAGAGGGGATGAAGGAAAGCAGGACAGGAAAACGTGGTTCCAAAATGACAGTATTGGAAAGATGGGTTTACTCTTGAAGAAGAATGGATTTGGGGGTCTTAAAGGAGATGAACATGGGGAAGAGGGAAAGAGGTCACTACAATTCTATAACCTTGGCCAGCTGGCAGT